TGGCCAACCCAAGCACCAATCAAATTCTCATGCTCTTAACCCATTTCCAGAATAAGCAAGATGAGAATCACTATAGTGGCCCCCCACCAAGTATAAGGGTCATCCAGGGTATCTGAGGAATCCAGCATTTCATAAGAGAACCCCTAGATATTCCACATTAGTTTGCCAACCAATGAAAACAAAGTTAAATTCCTGTTCTCTAGACTTGCAGTACAGAAGTTTACTATATATTCCCACTCCCTGTGTCTTTCAAATCTCTACCCTGGCAAACACAAGTATCTCTACTAGATCATCCATACTCCCTCTTCCCAACCTATTATGCTATTCAAGGACACTGCTAGGGTTTGAGTGTGTGTGTGTGCATGTAAAATGGAGGCTCTCCTTCAATACTGGGATATCTAGATTTCCTGTATTAATTACAAACTGGGATGCTACTTTGGCTGCAGCAAAAGCAATGCCAGGATTAAAATCTCCTTTCTGATTATTATTGCTGGAAGAGGCATAGGTCCTGGAAGAAGTGCAAGAAAGGTATTGGAAAGAAGGAACAAGGCCTGTAGCCATCAGGCTGCTGGAATCTTTGGACAGGTCACTACCTGAAAGCAGGTAAAGACCCAGGCTTTTCTCCATTCAGGCACCTGACAGCCTAAATCTTCCAGGACATACCATAACCTCTGAATAAAAAGGTCCCTGAGAAAAAAACAACTGTCACAATGCCCACACACTTGACACCATGTGAGAAACAGAGCTGCCAGCAGGTCATCAGTCAGACAAATAAGTGTAAAATAAACAAAGTATATTATAGTTTAGGATGCAGTGATATGGAAGGAAGAAGTGGCAGCTGACAGAGGAGTCAGAGCTATAAATACAGACAAGTTTGTCTCTGCTTTCTGATTTCTTGAGAATAGCAGTTTGAACCCTTCAAAGCTGGGTAAGAAGCTCCTAATTTCAGTCCAGATTAATAAGTGTATGTTCATAGTGATGGCCATGAGTCAACAAGAAGCTACATTTGATCCACAGTGTTATTTAATAAATCTGTCCAGAATCAAAGAATTTTGGCATTGGAAATGACCTTGAAGGTCTCCTGTCTAACTTTCTACCAATGCAGAAGTCCCTTTCATAATATTTCTAGTAAATAATCATCCCATCTTTCACTTACAGTGAAGAGAACCTAGAGACAGTCAATTTCATTGTGCTGAATAGTTCTATAGTGATACTGCTTTGAGCCTTCCCTTCTGCAAAATTATGAATACTACTACCTTCTTTATGGGGGTGGCACAGTCCCTGGTTTATAGTAGGCACTTTCCTCCAGTTGAGTCAGGATATGCCTCTCTGCAGCCTCCACTCACTGATAATACTTGTCTTACCAGAAAGAACACTTTCTAGATGACAGTTCTGAAGACAATAATCATGTTACCACTGCCCTTTCTGGATGCTCCAAAAACTGCATACATGTCCCTGTCTTATAAATTACATCCTCTGTGCAGAGTATCCTTAATACTTTTATATAAAGGATATATGCAATCAACTAAAACACCAACATCGTGTTCACATGAACGTCTCTTGTTAATCCAAGTTTTCCCCCTGAGCAAGTACAGATTTTTAAAAAATGAAAGTCAGTATGTATTTTTAACTCTTTTAAAACAATTTTGTTGATTTCATCCTGTTGAAACGATTATAAATCTCAATTCTGTTGGTCATCGCTTAAGAATCAGGTTAGGTAAGCCTTTCGACATTCTCCGCATTTAGGATAAATGGACAAAAATGACAGAAAATCTTTTGAGGTGGAATGGTAGTATCTTCTTAGTAGTAGTGGAACTTTAATTTTAGATTGTAATAACCATTGTCATAGTTAAGGCATGCTGTGTGTTCACTATTTAACTATACTGTCTAAATATTTAAAATATTAACACTTAAAAGGTAAGTTTCTATCATCTGTAAAATGCATTTATTTGGAATACTATGTAGACGATGGTTCTAACTATATTAAGGTTCATTCAACCCTTCCCCTTCCCACACCTCTCCTATTTGTTTGAACTAAATAAATATTTCCTTTTCTAGAAATAATCACATTCTGCTAACTAACCCACTATAAAAGTTTGCTCTCATTTATATTTAACTTGAGTGCCTACCATATGCTAACCATTTAATGTGAATTATCTCATTTGACACTCTCAATAAGCCTCTGAGATGAGTGCTATTATTACTTGTTTGATAGATTACAAAACCAAGCTCAGAAAGGTTCATTAATTTGCACAAGGGCATACAACTAGTAAGAGGGAGATGAAGGGCTAGTAGAATGGAGGAGCTGAGGACCACAAACTATTGGGTTCAGAAGACCCTATGAGAGGAACACTGGGGCAATTAGGCTGTATCTGGGCTCTCCCACCTTCCGGGCTGAGGCCCTGACACAGAGACTTTGCCAGACAAACACAGAGAGGGGCAAGATTTCACTTTATTGTTACATCAATCTCACAAATAAACCCAACACAGCCAGAAACACAGAGCGGATAAAGTACCAGTGCAACGGCCTAGCAACAGAAGGAGGAAGGAATCGAGTTCATCTCCTCCATGTCCCCAACCTGGAAACATATTTCTATACACAGAGTGAGGGCAACTGACATACCAGGCGATCCACTCTACAGACACTTAGAGCTAAGGAATAGAAAATATTACCAGGTATGGTCTAGTACAGGGCAAGGAATAGAAAAATCAGAAACTCACTCCTCAAATGAGTCAGGCTCAGAAATACCAAATGATTAAAACAATATTGTTCAACTCCCTGTATTAGAAATGGACATCTAATAAGGACTGAGATAGGCACCAGTTCTACAAGGTTACTCCTTGCTACTGCCTGTCTTCAGAACTGTGACCTGGGTAGATCTCCCCCCACCCACTAGCCCTCAGCCAGAAGCACCAAAGAGAATTTTCTAGGAGTCTGGGAAAAACTGACCCAAGACTGACCTCACCGGCTTACCTTTCTAGCCCCCCAAAAAGCAGACCCAGTGATCCTTCATGAACATTAAGGAGATATGGGCTATCAGAGTGATCAACTTGGCAGAATTTAAAGAAGTCTAATGAAGACTTTCATAATTGTCTTTAGACATTTTTAGGTGCCTCTATCAAGCCTGGGGTTTAAAGCACAATTATTTGGTTAGAGAATTTAAATGATTTGACTGCACTGAGTGAGACTGTGATATCCTAAGCTCAGATCACCCCAATTGTTTCTATTCCAAAACTGGAAAACCACTGACTCTCAGAGGCCAGAAGGATCACTAAAGGCCATATGATCATGATATAAACTCGAAGAGCCAGAAGATGTAGTATCTTTCCAGAACTTGAAAGTTCCTGGCCTTACTTGGTCCACAGGGAATCTAAATAAGGAGAAACCAGGCCAAGGAAGCTCCAACATGCCTTAATTGTGGCCAAAAGTCAAGGCTCAGAGTGGAACTTTCAAGTAGGGAAGTAAGGTGTGAAAGTATTTCAACTCAGTCCTATGATAAGAAGCAGGCCAAAGTGGTACCATGCTAGGTAATGGAGGAGAACGGGGAAGCCTCAATGGAAAGGTGCAGGTCCCTCCTAGGTAAGAGAATGGGGCAAAGCTGGAGGGAGCCCTGAGGCCCGGTAACCCTGAGATCACCCTGCTGATCTTCAGATGTGCCCTCCCCTCCTGTGGGTATGCTTACTTTTCCCTCTAGCTTCCTCTATAGAGGCCGAGTGGAAGGGGGCCTGGGAAATGACCCAGAGATAAATGGCTACAGCTGGGCTGCCAGCTGTTCAAATGGGGGTCATCAAGTTCCTAGTCCTTGGAGACCTTCTGTGAGGTCAAAAATGTTTAGAGTTTCAAAGAACTGTTTGGTAGGGGCAGTGGCTGAAAACCAGACTAGAGATTCTTGGTGGGCCTGGCAAAGTTCAAAGTAGGATCCATGAAACACTCTGGGAATTACTGTTATGAACCAAGGGCAGACTTGGGCATCTCTTAAAGGGGCGCCCACAGCTGGCTATTTTTCTGACTTCTCCGAGCACTTCTGTGACTGGAAGGGAAACTTCATTACAGGAACCCGTGTGCCTAAGCTGACACTCCAACAAAAAAGCTTCAAGAAGCCCCTGTGATCTCCCCAGCCCTTTGAGAGGGGTCAGGAAATATTGTGCAGTTAGAAAAGGTTGCCCTTAACACTGGCAGCTCCTGCCCTGTCTCTTTCCTTGTACCAGTACAGTGTTGAAGAGCGTCTCACTCCTCAATTCCTTGCCTGGATGTTTCATTCCCTAGCTCCATTCCAGAAAGGTTTCTCCAGGTAAGCCTCCCCACCAATCGATTCTAACCAGTCTACTCCCTTCTATTCTGTGCCTGCTCTGGGTTTTTTCATCTCCTTTCCCTACCCCTGTTCCCAGGTACTTGAGACCTTGGATCTTGGGGGGTATAAAATGGCTGAGAACAGTGTGCAGATTATTGACTGAAGCATTCAATTCCATCTCAGAGAGGGATTTATGTTCCCCTATCTCTGTTCCTCCCCACTTCCACCACTTCTCTCTGAGTTCAAGGTGAGAAACCATCTCATTCCTCTTTGTACTCTCAGCTTTCAGGCACCAAGATAAGGGCCTGACTGTGACATTTTTGGGCAGGCAGGGGACTTTTAGTGGGCTTAATACACAGGAGGCAGATCCCCCTAAAATCCATCCCTAAAGCATATTCTTCCCCTACTCTACCTTTTTACATTTCTCACCTCTTTGCTCGCCTCTAAAGGCTGGAAGACAAATGAGGAAGTGTGGGCGAATGAACATAGCCTTGGCTTGGAAGTCAGGTCTGAGTTCTAGGTCCCTTTCTGCCACTGACTCAGTATATGAGGTTAGACAATCCACTTGCTTCTCTTGACCTTTAAATGAAATAGTTGGACTAGATGATCTCTCTGGGCTCTTTCAGGTTCATACTTGAGTAATCAATAAATTAGAAGAAATTCTAAGACATAGGTCTCCTGCACCTCTTTGAAACAGCTGAAAGGAGGTAAAGGTCAAGTTTCTGTTTATTATACATTTAGCTACAGGAAAAGAAGCAAATGTATCTATGGAGAAATAGAACCTGGCAGCCTCTATACTTGACTAATAAAAGCAAATTCCTGGAGAAAGCAGAAAAATAGGCCATAAGTGAGACCCGGCAGTGTCAAAAGGTCTATAAATTAAGTGATCAAAGAAGTAAAAAACAATGGCTATAACCAGACAAGATCTCTAAGCACAGACTACAGTCTAGAGAGGTCTGGGTGGGGAGGAGCCCCTGGAGCTTCTATTAGAGGGAAGGACTTGGTCCACAGCAAGTTGCTACTGCATTTGGTACTGCAATCTGTCAACCTGGTGTGTGTGCATACATGCAGACACGCTGCAGGCTGTAGTTATGCTTCTGAAGTGCTGAAATGAGAAAGAAATATCAGAAGAAATGATACCAAATTTTAAAAGGTTAGGCTGAAGACAATTTTAGTTTAAAAGCTATTCATCTTCCCCACTACTCTGTGTGATATCACCACTGCTCATTCTGAAGTATGGGTAGAGAGTTCTGTGGGATGTAAACTCTGGGGGTGGGGAGGGGCAGGTTTGTGATATGATTGGAGGCCAAAGGCGGGGCACAACCCATATCCTGTTTGATAATTCCCAGTTCCCTCCAGCTCATGGATAGATGGATTTGACTTGATCTGACCCATCTGGGCACTCACTTGTCTTCATTCAAGGAAACTGTCTCCACAAAAGGGATTTCTTCTTTGTCTGTCTTCCCCATGATCAGCTGGTGCTTATCCAGATTTATGATACACTGAAAACAAAAGAGAATCACTGGTCCCTGTTAATGACCCCATTATGGAATTCCCATGTAAGAAGACCCTATCTCAGAGAGGAAATATCAAAAGGAAAGTAGACTCAACCCTACCTTCAGGGATCGAAGTGTCTGGAGACCAAGGGATAAGTTTTTCTCATTGTCCTCTAAAGAAAAGCAGAAATTTAAGATTCAGCTATTTCCATGATGGTTTAGAAGTTCAGCCTGATCACCACTAAGTTCCATTCATCATCCATCAGTCCGTCCATCCATCCATCTGTCCGTCCATCCATCCATCCATCCAATAAACATCTGTTGATTATAATAATAAATAATTTGCTCAGATCATATAGTTAAAAGGCAATAGACCCAGGATTCAAACCTAGCTCTATCTTTTTAACTCTAAAGGAAAAAGGCCATTAGACAAAAACCAGGAACTTAAGAGTAGTCTAATATAGAATGCACAAGGGGAAGTATAGAAAGAGATATTGGGAAACCATCAAAGAATTAATGGGCAATCCTTCCTCTATCCCAAAACTAGCTCATGGAAAGCTCTCAGCTGCCATTTTCACCTGAACACTAAAATATCTGCTTCTTGCCGCTTGAATTTCAACTAAGTTACACACTCCTTTTTATGAGTGATTCTCAACATGTCTTGAATGTAGCCCAGGGCCCATCTGGTACGTTGGAGGGCAATAACTGGGACGAGGTCTATAGTACCAGAAAGTGGTGAAAGTGAAGTGAAGAAAGAAAGAGAAGAAGCCAATATTTACAGGCATGAGATCTCAGGAGAGTTTGCTGGAGGTAGGAGAAGGGTGTACATTGGCGGTCTATAGGTCCAGTCCCCAATTCTACTCACCAACCACAGCTGCTGGGCAATCCAAGCGGAAGGAGCCCAGTGTGATCACTAGGTGCTCAATCTGGCCCACTACTTTGAGATGCCGGGGTAGACAAAGCTTCTCCACTTCATGTTTGTGAGATTTGACATGCTCCTTAAGACTGCATCAGAGAGGAAGATACCAAAGTACTCTTGGCAGAGGTTTCTGACAGAATCTGATAATGCCTACTTTCTGACCCACAACTGGAATTCTCCAGGGATTTCCTTGGATTAATTTACACAAAAAATGCTTGTCAGCTTGCACCTGTTGTTTCAGCACTTTTTCCTAAACATGCAAGGAGGATATCAAAAAACAAGACTCGGTTCCTATTCTCAAAAAGCTTACATTCACTACCTGCACTGGTGAAAGGAGGGAGCTGACACACTCAGAGAATCCTATTCTGCATCCTAATATCCCCAACTATGTGTGAGGCAGTTTAGTTAACATGTCCTGTCTACCCATAATAGATCTCAGGAAAGACAGGTTAATCCATAGTTTTAGAAGATGCTTGTTCAATGTCTAATCTTCTCTTTGTCCTTTCTATGTCAGTCTCTCCTCATCAGTCTCTCTTAGGTTAGAAAGTCAGTGGGGGCAGGTACTTATTTGGTAAGTGCATTGATATTGGCATCAGCAAGGAAGAACATGGAGAAATTTCTAATTTGTCTGTGCAGGGGAGGAAGGAAAGGAACAGCACCAAGGTTTCACAGTTATGTAAGCTGATTGGAACAACTAGCACCCGAGCTATTATGGGTTGGTGGATAAATACTTGATTATGGACTTCCTGTGCCAATACTTCTGCTTTCTTCCATTTCCTCTCCTTTGCTGTTACAGTCCATCCAAAAGGAAAATAATTGCAGTTTTAGAGATGGTTATTAATTCCTCTGGAATCATGGCAGTCTGCTGCCTAATTATGCACCAGTACATGATTAGTCTTTCTGGAAACATCACGTTGCACTGTATCTCATCTATTCACATAAAGAGGTTCAGGATTCTTCCCACAGGAGCACTTGTGCACTGGACTCCCCCATAACCCTAAATAGCAATATTCAAAATCCACAGGTCCATTTTAAAAGAATCACAGTGCTGGTGAGGGGTGAGATGAAAAGGAATAGAGGTCACTGATTATAAAAATCAAACCTTATGCAAACCCTAAGAATACGGACATCTTGAATGTAGCTCAAATGGGCTGCTGTATCTATCCTAGCAGTTGTTTCATTACAGAGATTTGGGCTGGGGGATGATTTATCATATTTAGGGCTGGAGATGTGGAAAAAGATGTTGGGTTGATCTTCCTGATTCTGGGCTAGACACCAGAGCCCCTCTGGTACTTTGGAGGAAAGAGTAAGAAGGAAAGAAAGAAAAGTAGAGATTGATGAATAAGGAGGTAAGACAGAAAATGGCTTTCTCTGACTAAAAGAGGGAGAACCCAAATCTACCTGCTAGAGAATGGAAGTTATTTAAGATCTGAGGTGTTTGCCTCACATCCGATCACCAGCAGGAGTAGCAGTAGGATACAATTTTACATATTCTTACCAGAGAGGAAACTATTGGTTAAGCAGGCCCAGCAGCAATCGCAGCCCTGTTGCCAGTTCTCACTCAAACATTTCTGAGGATAGGCAGAGTAGGCTCCAGACGGACCTAAGTAAGCGAGGCCAACCATGTCCCTGCTTTTACTCATCTAAGGTACACCAACAGGACAGCTCCTTCTAATATGTTGTCTGGCAGATCAGGGGAGGGCACACACTGAGCCAGGGATCTCACGCTCTCTTGTGCCAGAGTCCAGAAGCCTCTGCTCAAAACTTAATAGGTGGGAGTTAATGGAAAGCCTGAGGCTTGCTTGGCACACTGACTTCTACTAGCTGCCTGACAACCCACCACTCTTCCCCTCTCCTAAGAGCTCTAGTTCCAGCTGAAACCTGAGTTCTGCACACTTTGAGTCTCTGTGGAGATCCTCATCTGAAATCACAAAACAGATTCACAAAAAGTGCATTCACATCTGACTTCCACCCAGCAGAAACAGCTACTTACCCCAATCTGTCCACACAGGCTGAGGAGATGAGATTATATTGACAGCCTGTGTCAACCAAGGCTTTCACATCCTTTCCAGCACACTGTGGAGAGGAAATAACACTGTTCAAACGGAGCTGGGGAGCAAAGGGAAAGGAGATCCAGACAGCAAGCAGCAGATGTTGTATGAAAGACAGGGTTGGAGAGCACCCTTAAAATTACAGGTTGGTACTCTGTCCCATCTTTACCCGCTGCTGAGTCTGCCTTTGAGTGGCTCTTTCCTGCTGAATCCAGTACTGACAGAGGATCCCAAAGACTTTGGGTGTTTATTCCACATGCCAGGGAGTTTTTAATCTTTTTCTTTGTTAATCGTCACATAACCCTTTTGCAAATCTGATGAAAGCTTTGGTTCTTCTTCCCATAAAGATGAACATGCATACAAAATTTTTGCATGCACTCCAGTGTTATATGGAGTGCCTCCTTTAAAGTCCATTGATGAATTTCATGGTAAGACCCACAACTCTATAGTGTTTAGAGGAGAGGGCTCACTCTTAGGATCATAGAGGGCTTCCAAATCCTACTTTCCAGAAAATCCCAAAGCTGCCCTCAGAATATTACCTGGCAAGAAACCAAAATCATGTCATCATCCTCAGACTTCTTTAGACTCTCGGACTTAGCCTGATTGAGTCTGTTGGTCTTGGAGGCCCAAGGAACACGGCTGCTTCGGAGCTTAGATAGGTTGCTTTCCATGAGGCGTCTCTGTAGAATGTTACGAGGTTGCTTGAGGAATAGAAAGCAGAGGTTTCTTAGTGACGGGCCATTTCCCCCACTCCCACTGTCCCCGAGGTTTCACAGAAATAATGAAGGAGCCTCACATAACTGAGCTCTACCATTGCTTTTTATTTATTCTTCCTTCAAGTTGGGGCTTCACTAGTACTGTCACAGCAGGTATATAAACCAATTTGCAGTAGGCCACCCTGAGTGAATGAAAGAGCAAGAAAGGACACTGGGAAACGTTGGCAAGGCCAATGAACATTCTACAGCTAAAGAGAACTAGGGAACCTTATAATTCAGTCAGCTTGGGCCTGCTGCCTCCTCTCCCCTTAGAAGGGCATTACAGGGGAAAAGTGGCATTATTCTATGTGGAATACATGATCTTTGTATCTTCCCAGGTGACTGTAAATCAGTCCGTCATAGAAAGGACAGATCGTTCTCACAGGCTGAAGAAACCTACCAAGCCCTGGTAGTCAGAAGCTCTTTTTATTTCTATTTCAAGTCTCACTGCCTCACAGTCTTATTGGTGGCCTGGCTCTCCTGTGGGTTGAGTCATTGATGGAGGTAGAGTGGGGTAGGAAAACAGGAATTCATACCTTTTGAGCAACACTATCAAGAGACACACTTTGGAACCTGGCAGAACCCACAAGAATCATCCTCACTGATATCCTCTAGACTCATCCAGCCCCCCTGTCTTCAACAGGCCAAAAAGTAGGGGCATAAAGGGGACATAAAAGGGGGCCAAGAAGCAGGGGACCTTATATCTGTGCCAAGATACCTAATGTTAGGAAGCAGAACGAGGAGTTAAAGTCTGTTCTCTGATAGAGTTTCTAGGGCAGATATATCCATACTCTTCTGTTCCTACCCAAACTGGCCACCAGGAAGCGTAAGCCCCCTCTCAAAAAAAATAATTTGAGTTGATAAATGTCTACATGCAAACATCTTATCCCCAGTTTACAATAACATTCAAAATCCCTCCAAGGATAGAGTCTAACCCCAAGCTTCTATCTAACATACCAGATGGCACTTTAATTCTAGGGGGAAGAGAATCACTCTTAGAAATCCAAAGCCTAGAATGTTCCCTGGGAAGGGGGTAGAACTGGAGAAGGTCTTCATTATTTGTCACTTTACAGATTTCTACGGAAGAATGGAGTCAGAGCCATGACTCACTGTAACCCTGGTGAGGCAAAGAAATGGATTCCCAAAATACACTAATTGTTGGCAAAGCAGGTTCTGAATTAGTATCCTTGGGAAAAAGGGAAGGGGAAGGCATTTATAACAAAAATGAGAGCTTCTTAGTTTCATAAGGAGCTAGTGTAAATATAAACTCTGTCAGATTTCCTGATGCTACACTAGGAGAAGGAAACCCTGGTGGCATAGTGGTTAAGGGCTATGGCTGCTAACCAAAAGGCTGGCAGTTCAAATCCACCAGATGCTCCTTGGAAACTCTATGGGGGAGTTCTACTCTGTCCTATAGGGTTGCTATGAGTCAGAATCGACTTGACGGCAACGGGTTTGGTTTTTTTGTTTTTTTAAACTAGGAGAATGCTTTGCTCTTCAAAAGAAACAGAAATTATTCATTCTCAACTCTGTCACTAATAAGCCTACATGCCTAGCTCAAGCCATACTAAAGCAAGGTGTTTGTTTCTGTCAGCCTACACTTAGCACGGCCTTCCTTTTTCATTTGTCCAGTTTTTGTGTGCATATGAGGTAACTGAAAATACCACGGCTTGGGTCAGGTGTAACTTAGTGGGAAAAAAAAAAAGGGAAAAGGAAGATCAAAGAACTGACATTTGAATTATGGTGTTAGCAAGGAATATTGAATATAACATGGACTGCCAGAAAAATGAACAAATCTGTCTTAGAAGAAGTACAGCCAGAATGCTCCTTAGAAGCGAGGATGGTGAGACTTTGTGTTGCTTAATTTCGACAGGTTACAAGGAGGGATCAATCCTGGAGGACATCATGCTTGGTAAAGTAGAGAGTCATCAAAAAAGAAGATGACCCTCAATGAGATGGATTTACACAGTGGCTGTAACAATGAGCTCAAGCATAGCAACGATTGTGAGGATGGCTCAGGACCAGGCAATGTTTTGTTCCATTATGCCTAAGGTCATTTTGCATTGGAACCTACTCAACATCACCTAACAACAACAACAACAATAACACTTAGCATGATCAACTCAAATAAACTGGATTTGTAAAATTGAGGATTAGAAAGGGCTTCGAAGGCTATCTAATCAAAGCCCTCCTATCTAGTCTAAGGTTTGGGGTCCTTCTTCTACACTGGTCTTGCTGAACACCACTTGACCTGGCCACTGTTTATCTTGCAGAGATACCTAATCATCATTGGACAGATAAGACAGGTGGAAAAAGTTCTGAAATAATTCTCCTTGAAGTAATCCCTCTTCTGTATTTTCCTCCCTTCCTCCTGGATCCTTCTCCCATAGGCTATAAAATATACCCAAAATTCTCATCTACTGGGGAGCAAACCTCCCCCACAAAACCTTAAGTCTTGCCTCCTCAACTCATATCCTCCTCTAACCACAGCCTTCTCTTGAATGGTCTTAAAAAATATAGCTTAAATCATAATGTCTATTTCCTGATACACTGTATTTTCTTCACTGAAATCACTTCTGATCCTACTATAGAAATGACCTCCTAATTTCCAAATGCAATAAACATTTTTCATTCTTCATTTGACTTCTCTAGGGCATTTGGCCCTCTGAACTGTGCCTTTATTTGTTCTTTAGTAACCAGAAAAGCTTCAAAAACACTACATATCAATGTAAAAAATTTAAGTATCACTAAAATATAAAAAATTTTAAAAGCAAGCCTCTCCAACCTCTCAACCCCTTCTTAGTTTCACTCCCTACAGATAATGACCACTAAGATTTAGAAGTATATCCTTCCAAAACTTTTAATACATTTATAAGCATATATAAAAATAAGATCATACTACAATACTGTTTTGAAATTTGCATTTTCATTTAATATATGAAAGGCATTTTTCCTTGTCAGTACGTATAGGTCTCTTTATTTATTTTTATAACTAAAAAGTATTATAGTACAGTTCAAGGACTGCAAATTTGCAGCCAATAAACCCATATGACTCTCAGAGATGTTTTTCTTTGGTCATTTCTATGCCTGCATGTTTTAAGTGACAGTCTAATTGTACATTTACCTTTGTACCCAACCAATTTCACTAAAATGACAGTAAAGAAATAAGAAAGCCTAAACTCACAAGGACAAAGAGAATAGTGAAGGTAACAAGAGAAAAAGAGAGATGTTGACAAAATTTTGGAATCTGAAAAGCAGACAGAAAAGTGGTAACTGATCTAGACTAGATAAAGTTAAGCAATTAACGCTATTTCACTTCACGGAACCTGGAGTGGCAGAGACTGTCAGTTGCTCACCAAAATCCATGTTAATCCTTTTCTTCATTAGCAGATACCGAGATTATGTTTCCTAGCATTCATTCCTTGCAATTAAGTGTGGCTATCTGATTGGGTTCTAGCCATTGGAATGTGAGTAGAAGTGACATGTGCCACTTCTAGGCCTCGCCCATAAAAATCTCCCAAGTATACTCCTCCATATTCGTTTCTTCTTCTAACTGGGCTAGAATAGAGATTACCTGTAGGGTAACCTCTTGGAAGCAACAAGATGACGATAGAAGAGCCACTCTCAGCCTTGGTGCTTCAATAATTACATGGAAGAGGGCTATCTTGCTGGCCCTTCCACTAGTACTGTTACTTAAGAAAAATTAAACTATTATGTTTAAGCTATTATATATGTAATATATATACATATATATATAGAGAGAGAGAGTTAGTTGGAGGGTGTGATTACCATTGGAAATAGATTAGTTTAAGGCCAGTATAAGACTACCACTTGACTCAGACAACTGAGAAGAATGCCAGAAATTTATTCTTTGGAGAGACTCTAGATCTCTGGAACGGGAGAGGGTGAGCGTCCACATTGAGCCAGAATTAAAGAACAAGTTTAAAGATTGAGAGGGCCCACAAGAAGCCTAACAAAATGAATGATAAAAGATCCACACCAAGATTTCACATTACTGTAAAATTTTGGAATATTAAGGATGACACAGATTCCAAAATTCTCCATAGAGAAAAATACAATGCAAGTACAAAGGACTGGGAAGAAGAATGGCATGGTAACAATGGAAGCTAAGAGACAATGAAATAAAACTTTTAGAAGTCTGACAGTACACAATTTCTAAACCTCGTCAAACTATCAGTCAAGACTCAGGAAAATTTATTTCCCATGCATCCTCCAGAAGATACTAGAGAATATGCTCCAGGAAAGCAAGGGAAATAAACCAAGAGAAAAGCATGGGACGCAAGAAATAAAGGATCCAATAGAGAAGAAAGGCAAAGGAAAGTCTGAGAAGAGTGTTGGAGGAAAAGTCCAGGATATAGGTTGTGTAGCAAGTCTACAGAGCAATCAGTCCAAAATGGAATGGGAGGATAGAGGGCTCCAGGACAGATGTTTCCAAGGAAAAAAAAAAAATGGACCTGATAGATGATCTATAGTTTAAAGGTATTGGGAGAAGATTTAAACTTTTATCAGAGAGTTTGGGAATAAACTGCTTATAGGTACATAGAAAATTAAGTAAAGGAAAACACAATGCAATAATTAATTTTTATAAAAACAAATATTTGTATGAAAAAGGAAACATAATCATAGTACATTATTTGACTCAGCTGTGAATACTATGAACATAGTCATAATAATGTAAGAGTAAATGCTGATTTAACCTAAAATAATTATTTAACAGAATATTACTAGATTAGGAGAAAGGACATGATAGGAAGGTGTAAGAGTATTAAATTCTTATCTATTTTATAGAAAATATATAATGGTAAAATCAATAAACCAAGAAATAGCGGTATCACTATTTCTTTAGAAATGTGGATATCCCTAATGCAAGGAACAGTTAAAAATATTTTAAAGTTTTAAATTATATACATGTATTTTTTTATTTA